AGGAACCCCCCCCCCCCAATTCTGTCTCTCTCCTTCATTTATTTGATTACCACAGTCTACTCACTAACTAGTTTATAAATGGTTAACAAGTCATCATATAACAAAAAACATTTTGAGACTAGCTTTTTGTAGTTTTCAAATTATTATAGCTTCCCAATGACGTTATTGTAACGGGTGTGACAATAGAAACTAAACTTTTTAACATATTTTTATGTTTCGAGGCCACGAAATTGCTTTTATGAAAAGAAGTAGATATGATCCAAAAACAATTTCGTTAAATTTGTTCCAGCCATTTATACTTTCCTTCTTAAGTATAAGTCGCTTACTTTGCACAGCCCCCCTCCTTCATACCTGTTTTAATCAATCAGTCTTACCCATTTATCTAACAGACCTAAGATTTTATTAAGTAAAACAATTTTAGAATTTTACGTATTTAAATGGATGGTTTGAGATAATGAAGGCCCTTGATAATTAGTCACTCATTTTAAACGTGAAAAGCTCATTTTGTGATCGGAGTGTAGTACTATATCCAACATTGGGTAAAAGCTGCACAAATATTAGTTCCTCAAAGTATAGAGAGATTATAATGGTAATGTTATTCATAAATTCAAAGAAAAGTACAAATTTCATTAAATACTTCTCTTTAAAGAAGGTATCATTAAGTACAAAATAATTCTTTTTCTTTTTAATCTTTTTCCTTAGTCCGGACGGAAAAGGCAACAAAATACCACAACCACCTTGGACTTGATATTTCACTTTGCCGTTTTTCATGAAGATTTTGCACACATATACTTTTGATTTAAAAGAAGCTACTAATAAGACAGCATGCCTGTCAGACGCGTGAAGACCTATCTGAAGCAATCTAAAAATGTCACGTTTGACGTTGTAATAGTTAAGTAATAGTCTACCTTCAAAAGACAGAAAACCTAAATATCGCGGATTTTTAACTTCTACAATCTTATTCGTTATTTTGACCTCATTGGAGTGTAGAAAATAGCAAAAAACAATTTTAACCCAAGAATTAGCTCAGTGCATTACATTTCTTGTTTCAAACTGTGCTATTGTAATGGTATTGAAAAAACATAAACAATGAACTGATCTTCACCGTTATATCCTGTATAATTCAAATCATAAAAAAGGGAAAAGAACAAGTGATAATAAATAATACATCAGAATTTACTTTTGATTCATGTTGGACGTTTCGTCCTTTTAATTCGACTTTTTCAGCAGCTTAATCTTACAAATAATAAACAACAAAAGAGTGCATTCTTAGATATAATTCAACTTAACTTTTTTTGTGATTATTGTGACGTATATTAATAATAATAATAATCACACAAAAAAGTAATTTTTAATTATACTCTTGTAGAAAAGTAAGTTTCAAATCGGTACCTCTTTTCGTTTCTTACAAATTCTAATGATGAATTTGGATCAATCACCCAGTAAATGGCAACAAAACCCTTCTATTGTGTGTTATAAATGAATTACGTACAACAAAGCATATTTTTAAAAGGTGGGTTTAAATGTCCCCTAACTTTTTAACTTTGTAAGAATGTAACATTTCATAAACTAAATTTAATTTTTTTAACTTTAGGTGCATATGAAAGAGGGGCGCGATATTTGGTGGAATGATGCTGTAGCAGATTCGTCTATTACTTGTCCTCCAGTCTGGACAAACAGTGAAGATCCTCTTTTTATGTTGTATACAAGCGGTTCCACAGGGAAACCCAAAGGTGTTTTACATACAGTGGGCGGTTATATGGTCTATACGGCAGCGACTTTCAAATGTGTTTTCGATTACAAAAGTAAAGATGTTTATTGGTGTACTGCTGATATTGGATGGATTACTGGTCATAGCTACGGAGTTTATGGACCTTTGGCCAATGCTGCCACTTGCGTTCTATTCGAAGGAACACCTTTCTATCCCGATAACGATAGATTTTGGACTGTGATAGAAAAATATAAAGTAAATCAATTCTATACAGCTCCCACTGCTATTAGAGCTCTTATGAAATACGGTGATGACTTAGTTCGAAGGTAAGAATAATACTTGCATATATGGTGTCATTTGAAAACAAATAACCTTTTGAAGTTTTTATGATGTCGTGCGTAAAAATTCCTAAAATATATAAAATAATCCCAAGGAAAGGATACCTCTGATCTTTAGTTTTATTCATATGAAAACTGGAAGTTCTAACTTTCAGGTACCCGAGATAGTTAATAATTTTCCTGTCCCTGATAATTTTATTAAAATTTCATCTTGGAGTAATCCCAGTTTAAAAAATGTCAGCGCAAGGAGTATATAATTGAAAGTTAACATTAAGATAATAAAATTGGTTCATTCCATCTAAAAAAGTGAAGTAATGGTTCTCTTCGGTAAAACCGGGAAGGTCACAGTTTGGAAAAAGTAGATAACAAAATTATTTTTTTACCAAAACTGAACAACCTTTCTTACTTTTCAAAAGTTTTACCCGTATGTGAATCAAATTTAATAGACTAAAATTATAAGCAAAAAAACTAATACACTGCAAAAATATTTTTTTTGATAATAATTACTAATAGAAAAGTTAAATAGCTGACCATTTAATCATTTGTGTTTTTTTTACAATCGTATATATAATTCTAGACACGACGTTTCATCATTAAAAGTCATAGGTTCTGTTGGAGAACCAATAAATTCGGAGGCATGGCTGTGGTACTATAAAGTTGTAGGTGGAGAGAAATGTTCAGTAGTAGATACTTTCTGGCAAACGGAAACTGGAGGACATGTTCTTACACCCCTTCCAGGTGCAACACCTATGAAACCCGGATCAGCTGTACGTTAATTCATTAATTTTACTTTATTGATTTATTGGTTACATTGTTTTCTGAATGGTTTTAGACATTTCCATTTTTTGGAGTTCAACCTGCACTTTTAGATGAATCTGGTAAAGAAATAGAAGGAGAAGGGGAAGGCTACTTGGTTTTCAAACGACCGTGGCCAGGTATAATGAGATCATTATTTGGAAACCATGAACGTTATGAAGCAACCTACTTTTCTAAATTTCCTGGCTACTATTGCACCGGTGATGGTAAACTGTTAATTCCAGATCTTTTATAAATCTATTATCCACAATTCAAGTTCAAAATTTCAGGTGCCAGAAGAGATGCCGACGGTTACTTTTGGATAACTGGCCGTATAGACGACATGTTGAACGTTTCAGGCCACTTAATGTCTACGGCAGAAGTTGAATCATTATTAACTGAACACAAAGCGATTGCAGAAGCTGCGGTGGTATCAAAGCCCCATCCAATCAAGGGTGAATGTTTGTATTGTTTTGTCATAACTTCAAACGAAACCCATTTCGATGATAATATTAAGAAAGAATTATCATTACTTATACGTGAGAGAATAGGTGCTTTTGCTACCCCAGATGTTATTCACAATACTCCGTCCCTGCCTAAAACTAGATCTGGTAAAATTATGCGAAGAATATTGAGAAAAGTTGCTGTAAATGATAGAAATTTAGGAGACGTTAGTACACTGGCTGATTCAACAGTTATAGAAACATTGTTTGCCTCAAGACCTGTGTGTTCTTAAAGTTTGTAACTTTGTTTGTACATATAAGTATATATTTATGTATATATGTGTTAATGACTTGTAGACATTCTGCTGCTAATTTATTATTAATGTTATGTACTATATGAAAAAAATACATGTAAATTGACTCGAATTAATAAAACCAACAAATTATGGAACGATCTCTCTATTCACATTAAGTATGTGTATAGTATGCTCCAAAAAAATACAGTACTTTGCAGTTATTTTGAAAATGTTATGTGGAAAAATTAAAAAAAATCAATTTTGCTGTTTCTTTAGGAAATGTTTCTAAGCAGATTTTCTGAAATCTGTCGCATGGTAGCGCCACGGAGCGAAGGTAATTTTTTTTTATAACCTCTATTTCTTGTTGCATTTTGGAAAAGCACGTGTTGTTCTAAGTACTATGGTCTCCAATCTATCTAACCATTCAATTACAACTAATTTAAGTGGTCCGTTAATGGTCTTGCAACGTGTAAAGGTGCATCTTGTTAGAATCGGATGTCTGCGTTATACGATAGCTGACGACACCTGTCGAGGGAGTGAAGAATGGGGAGGGAATAGAGAGTATGGAGTTGGATTATTTCATTTATCCTTTAAAATATTGCATCAGAAGTGAGATAATTATTAAAAAAATACTTAAAAAAACGTATACATCATGTCTGATCAGTACTCCAGAAAAAATAAGAGAGAAAAAGAAATAGAATGAGCCATCTCGCGCCACTCAGTGATATATATAAACATGAGGGTAACGACCTTGCCGAAAACTCCAACTGCTCTTGAAATGATAACGACGTGTATTCGCGTGATGACTCTAGTACATTCCCATTGCATCGTCCATATATAACCATCATGTTTGAATTTTCTGCATGTGAATACATTGGTTTTTGCTTGAACTTTTCACATTCAACTAATTTTTGTATTTTGTGGTAATAGCAGTAGGTAACTGCGCAAATCGAACGCTAACGAATGCGTATATATTACCAATAATCATTACGTAAAATTCACCCATCTACGTACCACCTGTTAGGAAGGTAACGAGTAAGTATGTGTGTTTCGTCAATTGACGCAAGCTATAACGGAAGGCGATAAGATAACGCGGCTGTCAAACTGACAATTGTTCTCAACCAATAGCGGCTCGTTAAATGGGGTACCTTTTATGCATACTTTTTACATCCCCTACGTTGTGATGCTATCACGAGATACACTGTACACTCTACAGTGCCTCCTGAAAAGTCGACTGAAATATTAACATAAATTATACTAACCTTGGAAGATACAGTTACACTCAAACAGACAACTAATATTTAAAGTTTAATTCAAACCTAAGACCGTTTCAAAAATTCTCGCATTCAACAGCTGGCAGAATCAGTTGATTTTTTTGTTACAACTTTACATGCGTTAGCTGAATCTTGTGATTATGGAACAATAAAACAAGATTTAATACGTAACTGCATTATAATAGGCATTAGAGATTCAGATAGATCAGAACGCTTACTAATTATTTCAGATCTTAAAATTAACGAGACGCCGGAAACAGTGAGACAAGTGAAGAATTGCATACATTTATATTAAAAAATATCTTCGGTACATCATATTTTGGATATTAATAAAATTATCTGTAACAAAAGAGCTTTACTAAGCAAAAAAAGTTAATACCTACAGAATGTTATGATCATAAAGATAAGAAAGACTATCCATGTGCTCGCTATGGTTTAAATAAGTATGATGTTAATTAAAAGCACCCGACAATTAATTTAAGATGCTGTAAATATGACCTAATTAGTCACTGGGCGAGAGTGTGTAGAACAAAAGATACTCTTCAATGTCAAGTGAAACGAGTGGATAAAGAAGACGGCTAACATGCTGGTATAATTTCTAGCGACATTTTTCTAGGAGTCGGTGGCAACCCGGCAACTCTGAAATGGAATTTTTATTTTCAACATTTATTCAATAAATTGATCGACCAATGAAATTTATTATTCATATAGGCGTCAATATTGTCTGTATAAAAAAAAGTTCGGTTTTAACGCTTTCCCTTAATCCAATTTTTGTATTTTCTGTATATCAAGAAATTCTATTCCAGATAAGTTTAATAACAAAAATTGGATTAAAACTATTACACAATGCCCCCTGCCTAAAAATAAAGACTACTTACTAGAGTTTCTATGTGCTATCAATTTTACGAGGAAATTTACTCCAAATTGATCTCATGTATTAGTCATTTAATTCCTTGTTGAAAGCTGACGAACAATTTGTTTGGCTAGAACATCAATAAACCTAATGAACCTCAAATAAACAATTTATTTAGTAATTAAAGTTCATACTCAAGACCAGTTGTGAAGAATATTGTTTTGTTTAATAGGCATGCGTAAAATCTTCAATGTTTTGACAGGGTACCTGTCGAGAATGGTTCTCCGTTCCTGCGTTGAGTGTGCGATAGTCTCCGCAGGGTCGCCACTCATCGTATTTTTTTTTTTCAGGACGTAATGTAATTGGGAAAGAGCGAATATAAAGATAGGAGACGAAAAATTAGAAGAAGTGGCTGATGTTAGATATCTAGGAAGTCAGATAAGTCAGGATGGAAGAAGTTGTAGGGATATAAAGCAGAGGATAGCGCAGGGTCGTGTCGCCTTTAATAAAAAGAAGCCACTTCTATGCTCGCGAACGGTTAATTTAGAAATTCGAAAAAGGTTGTTAAAGGTGTATGTTTGGAGCACGGCGTTGTACGGGTGCGAAACATGGACAGTGGTCGCGGCGGATAAGAAAAGGTTAAAACCGTTCGAAATGTGGTGTTATAGGCGGATGATGAGGATATCGTGGGTAGAAAAGGTTAGAAATGAAGAGGTATTGGAAAGAATAGGAGAACAGAGGACTCTATGGAAGTCAATAAAAAATAGGCGAGATAGGTTGGTAGGACACCTTCTCAGGCATGAAGGTCTAGTCAGAGACATATTAGAGGCAGAAACAGGAGTTAGGAGGGGTAGAAGTAGACCTAGATTAGATTACTGTTCGCAAATAGTTAAGGATGTGGACTGTTCTAGTTTTAGGGAAATGCGAAGTTTAGCTCAGGATAGGAAAGAGTGGAGGTACGTGTCCAACCAGTCTTAGGACTGACGACCTTATGATGATGATGAATGTAATTGCGAATAATTGAACGATTATTCATCGCCCGTTAAGCGCTGCAATGACATGTCATCAAAACAACAGCTTCAGGTTCTTTCCACTGTACTGTTAGACATTCGAGCAGCCTGCGGAGGAGATCTGAAAGCGACAGCATCTAACATGGTATATGGGAAAAGTCACTACATCTACCTGAAGAACTCCTATCTCCACCAAACAGAGACCAACGGCAGTCCATCAGTCTACGTACAACAGCTTCGCCAACACTTCCAACGACTACAGCCTGTATTCGGAACACGACATGTGGAAAAGAAAACATTCATCTATAAAGACCTCCAAACAGCAGAGCACGTCCTAATGGCTTCTGGCCACTAGTATCCGTCCGTCTCGACAAGTCTTCTCCTAAGTCAAAGACAATATTCGAACTTGGCATGCTCTGCGGTTTCAACGTCAAATTTAAACCGAAAAGAGCCACCAAAGAAGTTGCCCAATGTCGCCGTTGTATGAAATTATTTCATACAAACCATTACTGCAACGCTGTCTGGGTCTGCTCCTTCTACGGCTGTCTCGACGGCTGGGGTTGCCGACAAACTAACAAAAACAGTATTTCCGTTCTTGCCAAAGCCTTCGACCTCATCCTTGCCGTCGATGTGTCCCCAGATCCAACGTACCTCCCCGCCACCCACAATCAACTTTTTGATATTCTTGACATCTTCGTCAACTCTTTCAGCCGATTCCACCGTTCTCGACGCTCTAAGCTCTAATCACCTTCCAGCCCTAATAGAAGTCGGCCGCCCAACCCTCTACCCCCCAAAGCTTATAACTTCGCTAGACTGGCTACGTCTCCGCCACACTCTCGAAACATCCTCCTTCAAGTGCACTTCAAATCGCACGATTTCCTTTCAAACGAGATCACCAACGCCATCGGGATCTCCACGACCTCCCGCCCCTCCTTCTTCCCAGAAAAACTCCTCCTAACAGACATTCTTGCTATCGTCAAGAGGAAAACAAAACCCACCGTCTGTCGCAAAAACACCAGGATCCCGTACACCGCGCTGAATGAAACGCCCTCTAGCGAGAACTTAAAACTCACCTAACCGAATTTCGTAGCGCCACCTTCGACGATTATATCGCTCAGGCCGAAACACATCCCAAAAGTACTTGGAAAGTGTTCCGCCCTCTTCGAAACAGAGCCCCACACCTCCTGCAGCTAAAACACAACGGCTCCGTATTCACTTCAGATGGGAATAAAGCTGCAATCTTCGCAGACTCTCTCTGTCTCCAGTGATCCCCACTTCCCAGACCTGATGACCTTGCCTACTTTCACGAGCAAACCAACGTCGCCTCCCAAATCTTTGTCCCAGCTGTTTCCAACTTTAAACACACATCCCCTCGTGATATCTTCCTCATTATCCGATTTCTGAAAAAGAGAAAATCCAACGGCGCGGATGGTATTCTCAACGGTGTCCTAATAGTTCTGCCATCAAAACACATAACCGCACTCTGTCACATCACAAGCGCTATCATGTGACTCCACCATTTCTCTCCGGTTTAGAAAGAAACCACCGTCATTTGTCTCCCTAAAATAGGGAAGCTCTCCCTCAAGCTACAGGCCCATTAGCCTGCTCAGTTTGCTGAGTAAACCAGTTGAATTCATCTTTTGGACCGGCTTCTCGACCATGTGGAGCGAAACAACATACTTCCCGACTTTCAACACGGTTTCCGCAGACAGCACGGCTCCGATCATCAACTTCTTCGTGTTTCCATACAGCCCTTACAACCTAAACAAGCGCCGTCATACTTCCATGCTCGACATCCAGCAAACCTTTGGTCGAATTTGGCACAAAGGTTTCATTACCAAACTTATCGCTCTCAACACTCCACATTTCCTAATCGGGGTTATCCGTTCCTTCTTCTCTGATAGAACCCTCCTTGTCCGCTTTGGCTCTGCTTTATCCCCAAGCAAACCCGTCACGGCTGGTATCCCTCAAGGCTCAAAGCTGTCAGCTCCTCTGTTCAACGTTTTTTGCGCAGACAT